GGTTTTTGAGGCTGGATTTGGTGGTTTCAAATTTGGGTTGGATAAGTCATGGTGGGAGGGGTTGGTTTTGAGGGGGGACTTGCACATCAGAGCTTGTTTTTGGGTGGCATTAAAAAAATTGGTTGGAAATTTGTTTGTTAGTGGGATAAAATTGAAAAGGGACCTCCCTGTATGGGCCAACAGGCCTGTGCAGTGTTCCCCCTTTCTTATGTTCTTATGTTTTTGTCATCGGCCCCGTGGTTGGGAGACCACTCTCTCCCGTTCCATTGGCCACACTGTCTTATCACGGGTATCTCATGGAGGGACCTGTTCCTTCTTTGGCAGTTTTAAATTTCCCAGTATCGATTAGCCACATTTGTTAGACTGCCCTTTTAAAGACACAGATTTACTCCCAAAGGTCTTCGTTTATACTCTTCTTTACTTCCCCTTTTGCTGATGGACCCTCCTTTTTAAACCGGGTTCTCATTGATTCTTTAAAGATGTTTACTCCACAAAAATTATGATGATACCTTAACACTCCCCCCCAGCCCCTTTTAGCCAGTTATTGCTGCCCCTTTTCCCTTTCACCATCCATGCCCCGTGTTATCCGTAAACCTATTACTATCCACCCTTTCCTTTTTCCACCTGATGCCCTCGCTTCCCTTCTGCCCCGCACGCTGTAAAGCCCCTTTTGGGGTTAGCGCTTTTTTTTTTATAATATAATAAAATAAAACCTGGTGGCTAAGCTTCCACTTCACACCGGGGGGGCCCCGGGGTTTTATTCCCCGGGGGTGGAAAACATTTCGACAGTTTCCTTACAATTGTTGTCCGTTCACCTAGCAGCAAATAGGTACCGGGGTGTCGTCGACTGGTGTGGGTCGCATCGGGGGGACAAGATTAAACCCCCCCGGTCCGTCCGTAGATCTACGGCTTTACTTCAGGGTCCAACCCTAGATCTACGCATGAGTGTCACTCTGTAAAAATTGGGGGTGGTACATTTGGGCCCCGTATGGGAATCATCTATGTGGGTTTTGTGAAACCCCATAAAAAAGATCCTGAGCACCTGTGTTAATGAGAGAAAAAAAAAGAATCTTATTTTTTGATTAAAACAGCAACTTTGCGTGTTTTTTCGTATGTTTTTTTTTTGTATTTGCGATTTCTTGGTCTATTTGATAAATGGAAGAAATTACGAAATAAGGGTGATTTTTATTGGTTTTTGCACTGGAAAAGGCTTTTAAAATGAGTCAAAATAGCAAAAATGTTAAATTTTTGCCGTATTCAAGGGTAAACAACGACCCCCAGTTAATAATTAGTGGGGATTAATAACTTCCAAAAAATTGGGGTGTTTTTTATTCAAAATTTTACAGTATTGCATAAAAGTAAATCTTTATTTTTTTGGGGTGAATAAAATTATTTGTGAATAAAAAATCAGAATGGAAATTTTTTTTAAAAACTAAAAATAACTAATGAAAAGAGGAAAAATTAGTTTGTGCGGGGAAAGCCTACATTGTTTATTTTGACCCCATTTTTTTGGAATATTTTGAATTTGTGTTAAATTGGCCAAATTAACAAAATTCCCATCACTTTTTTTGTAGTTGAAAAAAAGTTGACTGGCGATTTCTTTTGCTCAATGATAGAAAAGAAGAAAAAATAGTGAAATAGCTAAGAATTTGGGTTTACTGGAATAAGTATTGGCCTAAATATAGTCAAAGTCG